TCACTCGAGGCCCAGCCATGCTGAGGCCGCCCACTGGGTGTGGCAGGCAGGAGCCCCTCTGGGGGGTGCTAGCCTGGGCGGGTCCTCGGGGAAATGCCAGGGTGGGGTGAACTGTGTTAGCAAGGTTGTGGAGAGTGTCAGAGGGGCATCCGCCAGCCTCAGGCCAACCAGGTTCAAGACGGGGGATGGCACCCGCCAACACCTCTGACTCAGGAGAAAGTCCCACAGACCCCTGTGCCTCCAGCGCACACCCTGAGAGTAATCAGTGCGTCACCTTCACGTGGGACCCAGGTGCTTTGCAAACTGCTGCCTCCGTGCTGGGACCCAGCAAGAGTGCAGCCTGGGATCCCTCAGCCCTCGACTTGCCCAGACGTGAGGCCTGCTCGCTTCCAAAACCCGATATTATGGGGGCTCCTTTTCCCAGTGCAGGTCCTCAGGCTGGGTGGGGCTCAGACCCCTCTCACTTTGGGGCGACCCTACGGTTGTAAGATCCTCCCACTGTGGGTCCCACTGTGGGTCACCGCCCAGGGACTGGGGTGGGTGCGTCCCTCCTGCTCTTCTCATGGTGGCTTCTTTATTCCGTAGCTGTAGGAAGTCCGCTGGTCCTTGGGGCGTTCTCAGAGACAGCGGCTCTGTATATAGTTGTTGTTTTGGTGTCAGAGGGGAGGTGGTGCCACCTTGAACTTGAGGCCAGAGCCTGGCTCTTGGATGCCAATTCAGCTCGTCCGTGAGGTGATCCTTGTGGAGGGTGACTGTTGCGCAGCGAACGTGTCTCCAATGGGATGGCCGCCTTTCTGTTTCTCATGTCTTTCGAGTAAAGCCGTGATTGCATCTCAGTCCTTTGAGGCAATGAACCCCGAGTAACAGGCCACGTGGCCCACGCCTGTCAGGGCGGCGTGCAGTGCCAGTGGCTGTGATCAGACTCCGAGCTCTGTGGCCGGGACGCCTAGGGGACTGAATGAGGGTGCAGCAGTGGGAGGGCGGCGGTCAGGGCTGATCAGAGGCAGACCCATTGTCACAGACTTCACGTTGGACAGGGCCTTACAGCTCCTGGGTTCTACGACTGGATTCTCAACTGGATTCGGGCTTTTTTCTCTCCACACCTGTGTGTGGGGCTCCCATGAGCACCGGCCCCAGGGTTAGCAGTGAGATGCGGGGTGGGACTTACCTGTCCTGCAGTATTGCCCATCATTACATCACTGTGTCTGACTTAGTAGTATTTTGTTAGGGTTTTTACTCTAAATTCACCAGGCACACAGGCCTGTGGTTTCCCATGGACACTCTCCGTTGGACTGGCTACTTGGGCCACACTGGCCTTATCAAAGGGATTCGGACCTGCCCTCCCTCCCTCCCTCCATTTCTGAAGGTGTTGGCGTGAAGTT